ATTTTGCATATTTTCGACGGAAATGCGTTAGTCTCCAACCACTTGTGCAAAATGGTGACAATATGAGTGATTTCCACTATGTATCATATTAGTACATTACCGGGGCTGTAAAAAATTGGAAATTCGCACCGTTTCAGCTACGAAAATGCTTAATGTATAGCCAGTTTTTTGTTACTAGTTTGACTATAGACCCATTAGTGTTTCATGGGAGATTACCTGATCAGCCTAAGTTCAGGTACATGATAACTCTTAAGATTTTAAAGCAGTTTTCATCTGCTATTGGTAGAAAGTGTCGAGAATAACCTCAGTTAAAGGGATTTTATAGCTAGCTTAATCCGAGACACTTCAATATGACTGAGTGTATTCTTATATTTTCTTGTGTTTTTTTGTCTAATTAATGGACAATTGGAGATTAGAATGTTTAAAATTTATAGCGATCGAATTATTTTGCTGGGTTAAATGCACAGTGCTTTTTGTCGACCAAAAAACTTACAAATAAAATGTTCGCAAAAACGCAACGTATTCAATTCAAATTAAGTTTTGGGACAAAGAAATATAAGGGTTATTTCATTATGTTCTTAGTTAAACGCTGTAATGCATTCATGATTATCATAAACTCGTCGCAGCTTTCTTTTTACAATTTCTCATTTTATGTTTGCGTTCACCAGTATTCAGCTTAGCTTTCATGTCACAAAAATCATGGCACCTACATGAAATAACGAAGCGGGTATTTTTGAAAATAATGTTTGAAGTAAAGGCAACTATTACATGTCATAATGTGCTGGTGTTTTTTTTATAAAGATTTCCGTCTTGTGAATTAAAAATACATGTTATAGTCTGCTGAATTATAAAACAATGACTTTTTTGATTTTAAATGCTTTAAAAGTTATTATGTTATTGTTGCACATTGTATAAAAAAATGCTATCATTCTAATTTCTTGATAAGTAGGTGATTTTAAATGCTGTTCGAAGCCATTTCAGCGAACTAAATGTGCATGTTTTATCACTTCGTCGAAACCGCGGTCAATCCGCATATTGGTGGTGTTGTTATTTTGGTTTTAGTTGCGTTTATGGGGTCTGGCTACGCTTTCGATGAGCAAAGGAAGACGGTTTCGGCTTGGAATCCACAAACTGATGTGTGGGCACTCGCACATGGGACTAAAATATCAGCTCTTTGTGTTGCTGGATCAAGTTTTTCAATTTTGATGCGAATGCGACAATTCTTCAGCCTTTTTTCTCAGCAGCACCTTCTGGGGACAATTCTACCGGTTGTCGTGCTTCCGAGTATGGGATACATAATTGCAAACGACATTTTTATTGAACGACCATTTGTCACACGTCTTAGTAGACCTAATATTGGACAACATTTTTGCTCCACTTGCCTCGAGGTTCGTGGGTCTTTTATTCAAGTGAGTATTTTCAGGACATTGCTAAGAAATTGCAGTCAGGACCTTTTGAGTATTTCTAAAGGTATTTACTGATATTATTGCTTCTTAATTATACGTCACAGAGTATTAATCGGCTATTAATCTCGAATTCCCTTAATTCATTCGGTGTTGACCTCTTTGATAATGTCGAAAATTTTCCATTGTCTTGGGTCCCACTAGACGCAACGTCAAATATACTGAATGAACCGGTAATTAGCGTTTGAGTGAATTTTACGTCATCTCTTATGTTCAATTTGCTTTTGGCTACTCTGCACAACCATGAATAATTGAGCTACTATTCTGGTTAACCAATATTTTGGGACAAATTTTCGCTGGCAGTAAAACTTGTGGAGCAATCCATTTTGTGTACCCAAAGACTTTTTTCGCAGTTTTGGTGTTGTTGTGTGTTTTGTGCTTACAATGTTTTCTTGAATTCAGGCCACGGCAGGAGTTTTTGCACCATTTTTACTGTCCGTATTTTCATGTGCTGCTGCCTCGATTTCTTACCGCACCTTCCCCGTCCCTGATCTTGGTGACTTCCGTAAGGTGCTTTCATTGGTGCGTCGGGCAGGTGGTAGTTTGTCTTCTACTCTTATTCTGCTCACCTTGGCCAATGCTTTTGTCGGTGGTTTTATCACGCTGAGGATGGCGGATCAAAGCGCTCTCATTCGCACTACACTCCGGACCAGCCATTTATCCGAATAAGCTTAAATGGGAGCATTAGTACAGCGTACTGTAGATAAAAATATATACGTTGCTTATTTTGAAATGAGATTCATTTACATATTTATTTGGTCGGGTTTGATTTCGGTAAACTGCGAACCACTTTACAAAGGCTCATATATACTTATTCGTGTTCATTTTCGTGTCATTATCTTGCATCGGCGTAAAAACAAACGGTATTTCAGCCTTTTTTCAAATCGAGGTACTCCTGTTAATAGGAACCGTTGTCGGTAGTAGTTCTTTTGTGTCATTCCACTTTCCTATTCTTATCATCACTAACATTGACCGTTCTATTTGATCGTGTGTATTTAATTCTTTCCGTTTGCCAATTGTACATGCATATTGCCTTACAAAAAATAAACGATGTCTTGAACAGAAAATGAATTTTATTATGCTTGAAAACTGTTGGTGACAAATGTTCGTGACTGTTCATCGAAAAGCTTCATTGGTTTACTCGGAAATTTGTATGGGAAAAGGCCTTACCACAAAAAGTGCATTACTTCATCCTTAACACGTTTGATAATGTTTTTATTGTAGGTCAGAGGATGATAATCGAGTCTGTGGATTGTAGGGATTGCATGCGGGTCATTGAACACCTTCTTGTAAATTATCTAGGTAGATTTGCTTTTTAAACTAATATTGAAAACAAATTAACTATGTTATCACCAGAGTCATCAAATACCCTCCATTCTTTACTTCCCACCTAACTCACATCGCTGATCGAGAATTCAAGATTAGGGCCTTCTTTTATTTACTGTCTGTCTATTAATGCGATGCACGTAGTTTAGGCTGTTTCAAATGAAGAGAATAACGTGATCTCTGCAGACTCTGTAAAGTGAGTGTAGAACCACAAAAGTCACGGCTTGGATCTCGTTCATTAAAATTCAAGAAAATTTTGACAATAAGCCATGTCTTTGTGTTTCTTTGACTCTGGAAAATCACCTACCACGCCGTCATTTGTAGTTTTTACTGAAGACCCGACTAAGATCGCAGAACGTTATCAGTACTCTTGAGTATCAAAAGCTAGATCTTTTTCACTTTCTTTATTACCAACTTATGTCCTAATTCCTTCATTTATATTGTCATACGCATTTAGGCTTGAAAGGATACGATCTTGATCCAAGTGGTCGCTTGATTTGCATCCCTGTAGACAAAAATTCAGAAACGGCTCAACAAGTTATAGATACATTAACCGCATCTGGAATTCTTGTCTCCCTTTCTGCTGACAGCGATCTTTCTCACACATGTTCCGGATCAAAGCGCGAGGTAACTCAGAATTTATTTCACCAATTACTCATAGAAACTTGTGGTTAACTCGAGATTCGGTTTTCTGTTAAGGGCTTTCGGATAATTAAACTCCTGGTCACCAGTTTAATTCAACAACTTTAATAATGCGTCAAAGTAGTGAATTGTGGTCGCTAAATATGCTCGATTGTTTTTTTGCTGAATCACTTCCTTCAATTCGGAAATCCGACTACTCTTCCAAATTTTATTTGGTAATATTTTCTAATCGTCATGTAGGTGGATTCAATTGGAATTATCACAGTCCTCAAAAACTACACCCGGAATTGTTTCAGTGGATTTGCTGCGCTGATATGTAACCAAAACATTAATAAGCCTCTCTCACTCAGTCCCAGGAGGTTAATTTGGTTGTATCATAGATTTGTCCGGCTTTTTGTTCCTGTAAAAAACTGCTTCCAGATTTTTAGGTACGCACAAACGAACATGTTTCTCTGATTTTAAATTTTCACCTCGTTCACCATTTACAGGGTATTTTAGCTGTTGTTTCTTCCGCGAAATACATCGTCTCGTTAGACATCGGCTACTCGGGTTTCTTCAAGGAAGTCAGCTACATAGAGGATTAGCATGATCCAAGGGGCACGCGTACTTTATTGAATGCACAAGGCGATGCTCTGAAGGCCACTTTGCTGGCACTTCGTTCGTGGTAATTTAAACAGTCACAGAAAGCAACAGGCGTCTAATTAATCCGAACTTATGCTTGTGCATTCACGTTGTATTTACTCCCCGAAATTCTTGCAATTTATTTAGCATGTAAGTGCTTGCACCGCCTTCTTACACTTTTTACAGTGCCATCCTCTACCCTCGAAGCGCCCAAAGTTTACGGGGAATGACGAATTCATTCAAAACGTGGAGCAGTTAACAGCTGTCGTGGCGTCCTCTAATCGTTGCCAGCGGGGCCACAACGTGCCCGCGTGGTGCGTACGTGTGGCACCGCTTACGAAAATGAGCGCATGCATAGCAATCCTAACACATCACAAACCGCTGCCCAGCACACTGGCCCATGTGAAACGAGCTTTCGTTAAACCTCAAGGCAAAGACCAGGTTGGCAGGGTACTGCTGGGTCTTGCCGGAACAAGGTGAGCCGCTTTCCATCACTTAATCATTAACAGACTTTCCTCAAGGTAGATCTGAAAATCATGAGAAACGGTAGTTCCCAACAGAGTAAATCAGTGTTTTCACAGCAAATGCGACAAATAACAGTGCCTTTCAGACGACTCTCTTAGTGCACTGGTTGCGGGACAATTAAACAGAATACCAGGTCACCACTGCAATCCCCCATTGATGTAAAAATTACTGGTTGTTCAAGTTACAAATTTTCACCTGTGACATGATTTTTATCAGTGTCTGGTGTATTTCAAGATACACGTGCTCTCCTCGTTATTTGATCAACCTATTCTACATTAAATGAAGGTGGAAATGCCGCCGAACTTTTCGAAAATGCGGGCACAAGCACATTTATGGAAGACATGTTGCTGGCTTTTCTGTAACTGACTTCCCACTATTACCAGAAAGTGCGATTCGATGCCTTTGTCTAGCAGAGATAAATGAAATTCTAAAATTTGCTTTTTAGGACATTTATTTTTGATTCGCCCCTATTGGATGACTACTTAGATTGCTTAATTAATTTATGGTGTGGAAAAGAGAAATATTATAAATTGTACTTCCTCATTACCAGCGGTGCCGGTTCGCAGTAATAGAGTGAAGCGGGTGCGCATGAATATTGGTCCATTCTGTGTGTGCCAAAAAAGAAAGCTTCAAACTAAATTCATCTTGATTATTACGTACGCTTAAATACTTGATAACCTACCAACCAGTTTGCGAACATTACTTAAACGACTAACTTCCAGAAGAAAACCCTAGTTTTGCGCGTGTCTGTTATCCTTGTAGCTTTACAGAACGCGACGCGATCGATTGCATAACCAAATTGTGTGAGGTTACCAGTATATCGAGACCTCACTTAGAGACTTGTTGGGTGCCCCTTTCTCCACCACATTCACGTCAGCAACAAGAATTACTGTCCTCTCTCATCAAGAGTTCTAGTAACTTTCGAAGTTGGCCCACAAACTTCCACCCAAACGCAACCCTCGAATCACTCCTTGCTCATGGGTGTTTGAATAGCAGCACTAATGACGCCAAGTCTTACTTCTCTCCGAAGGATGTTGAATGGTATGTTTTCTGAACTAGTGTCGTGAGTCCATTCACTGGTCGTGTCGTACAGTATCGTTAACCTTCACACAGGAAATTTTGAAGGTTCATTGTTTGCACTTCGCTTTGAGCCCATACTTTGGAAAAGGTTTTAGTCTCGCAAGACCTCTATCAAGAATTGGAAATTCAACCACTACGCGATACTGAGTAGGGTTGTGGACAATTACCCGTCTGCCACGAACCCACAAAGCGACCGCACTCACCTCATGTGCTATTTGAAATTCAGATCGACACTCCTGCACACATAAAATCGGATACCCCGGCCCATCTTACCAAAGCATCTAAGTGGTATCAGGACGCCTCAATTTGAGGCCCAACTTAGGCTATCTGTGATTATTTTAACTTAATACCGCTGTTCATTAGTACCTAGCCACAGAGCGTCTAAGTCACTTGTGACTCTACTTGAGACTACGAAGCACCCTCACATAGTGGGTGTGCATGTTCTGTCTAAGCGTTTACAACCCACGCCACTAACTGTGCTGATGTATTAGGCATAACCACTGGATTCGGCGAGCTGTCGAACTGACCAAGACCGGTTCTCAGAATTTGAGGAACGCCTCCTGCGATCCTGACAACCCGCACTTAATATGTGCCTGCATCATCGTTCGACCGCAGAATGTGACGAATCGAAGCCCCGCTGAATTTCAACCGCTGGCTGAGGCTGTGTCCACGACAGGGAGTTCATGCATCGACCACGCCGTCATGCTCGCATCCAGTCAGGTCGGTCGGTAAGCCGCCCAACTCTCGCCCCTTACCTCCATTGCTAGCTCATTCAGGTAATTTTCAAACGATTTTAGACTCAATCTTGACCAGAGGAAGCAAGCATTCAGCGACCCCAAAAACGGGACGGACAATGGGAGTAATTACCTATGTACCGGGTGCGATGCGTACGTCTCAACGGAGCCCTGTTTGATGTGTGCCATGGCCCTACTCCATGCTCGCATCGCGCGAGTCTTCATCGCACGCCGCCTTCCCTCGGCAGGTGGACTGTGCAGCCGATGGAAATTGTCACTTGTAAACGCATTAAACCATCATTTCCTTGTATTTGCGCCGCCTGAAGTATAATATAACCCCATTTCTATGAATCTGCTTTCCCGGAAAGTGTAGAAACAGAGGTGGCGTCTGCGGTCTAAACATCACGCTTGGGTCTTGACATTTTGTTTACTCCAACAAAAGAGCTCAATTTATCCGTGCGCATGACCACCCACAAGAGATCTAGTGGGTTCCCCAAAAGGGGTATCGGAAAGACGATCGTCACAGGTTCGCACATACATTTAAAGCTAGACGCGATTGCAATTACCCTTCCATAAAATACATGCTTTCGTTAGCCACAGGACTGACAGGTGAAGACATAAATTGAGTTTAAGGATTTATTATACGCATATTTACATTTAAATTCAGTAGTGGGTCCGCAAACATCAGCTCTGCTTCTTCTGCACCCTAAATAATAGGCAAGTTATAAAGCCTGCTTGGGGCATATAACTAACCTGTATTGAGCCGTTACCATCGCATGGCCTCTCTCGTACGGTTCGAGGGTGACTTGTTCACGAGGAGTAAACTGCTGTTTTCGTAAGGTATCGACTTCTTTGGCAAATACTACTTCTGGCGCTGCTACCGAATCAATGCAAGACGCCTTAATGGATATAACCGCGTATCCACCGTTTTTTAAATAGTGCTCTGCGTTGACAGCAACAATGCGAGATTGATCGGGTTGAGCAACATCGGCAAAAATGCAATCAACCATACCTAGGAGATAACGGATCACGTCCACGCCTTACCAACGAGCATCCTATATTTGTGCGGGTGACGCGCATCTTCTATGATGGGCACAATGTTTGTGCGATGCTTGGCAACGTTTAGAAGATCGCGGCCGGAACGGTGCGAAAATTCAACAGCATATACAACCCCTTTTGGTCCAACCAAATCTGAAACATGGGAAACCGTGGTCCCACTTGCAGCGCCGAGATAGAGTACACGACTTTCTGGGCGCATATGGATATGTTCCAAGCCGTTGATGATGCCGGCTGCTAGCTTCGAGCGGAAGGGATTCCAAACACGATATTCAATTTTTGTTCCATCATCATCATCGACACTTATGCGTTTTTCACCGTAAACAGATTCGCCCAATACTAAATTGCGGGTGACAAGGGCATCTTCTTTTCCCTTGGCGACAAATATGCCTTCATGTCGATGAGGTTCAATAAAAACCTTTTTTCCACCACGCATACCTCCGCGGCCACGAGACATACCTCGTCCGCCACCTCGGTCACCCCCGCGACCTCCACCTCTAAATCCCCTGCCGCCACCACGAAACCCACCTCGGTCACGCTCACCACCGTAACTTGCACGACCGCCACGATTTCCACCGAAACCACCACGACTTGCTCCACGTTCACTAAAACGGCCACCGCCACGATTGCTACCGCGAAAATCTAAAACATCGACAATCAAGAAGTAACGAACCTGGCCTTCCCATCACAAGCAAAAACGCGCGTGACAGAAACCGATTATGGCGGGATTATCTGCGCATGTTTAAACGCTAAAAATCCAGATAATATTATCTAAACACAAAATATGCAAAAGTTAAAATAAACTACTTGCTTTCAAATATAAAAGTAAAAACAATTTATTATAAAAAAAAATTTTTAACTTTAGAAATTGATTTGATTTAGAAAGTACCATGATAGGGCTTTTTGACTATGTGGCTCTCGCTTCTTTGTGAAATCTAGTTTCAGCTGTAGCTGCGATTCCTGGTGATTTGACAAAATACTTTGTACCATCCTAAATACGTGAAATAGGGCTGTCTTGTTATTCGACTAGACCCGCAGAAGGGTTTGTGAGCATACCTGCATGTTTGGAGTTCTCTCAGGGTGCTTCACCTTTGTACTATCGACCAACTGCTTCCACGACGGCAGCTGGAACTCCTAGGATTCTAGTGTGAGCTTTGAAAATGCATAGACGAAGCATTTGAGTCGTTGGAAGCTTATTTTG